AGCAGGAACTGTGCAGCTATGGGAAACTGCTACTTTTGTTGTAAATCTCCTGTTTTGATCTCTAGATTCTGCCCAGAGCCGATGTACTAAACCATGAAGCTGGCTCTTCTCTTCGTTCTGCTGCTGCCAGCATGCTTGGCCAAGCCGTTCCACCAGCAAGGCCTCTTTGACTTCATGCTGGAGGATGAAGGGTCCGCCGATATGCCTCCAACAGACGATCCTGTCATATCTGGATTTGGACCAGTGTGCCCCTTCCGCTGCCAGTGCCATCTTCGTGTGGTGCAGTGCTCTGACCTAGGTAAGCCCAAAAATGTCTTCATGGGGTATACTTTTACTCTCTATGCATGGGTTTGCAGTTGAGACAGTGAGGCTGCTACACTCTGCCCTCTCTAACTTGGTTTTTGTCAAAGAAATGTGCTACAGCTACTGTTATCTAGAATACACTATATGAAGTAGGCCGTAAAGCCCTGACAAGATAGACATTTGTTGTCACCATGAAAAATGATTTTTTAATGTCTAATTTGTGTATGTACCTTTCATTCGTTCTTTGAAAGACCACAGATTTCTGTCATAGAGAAAATAACTTTCAAGTCTATTCCTTCAAATGAATATTACATAAACTCAGTGAGGTCAGACATGGGGATGGAAATATTTTAAAAGGTTCTAAATTGCATGGTCCAAGCTGTAACACCCTTAATCATGCTGTCTAGTACCTCAACACAGAAATCATTCCATTTCCACTGGAATACATGAGCATAGAATAACCAGCTCTGAATCATATATGTTGGAACCAGTTCTTTGGAGGAAAAAGCTTGGAAATACTCCAAAACAATGAACACATTTTGGAGCTCCTTATTAAACATCTTTCTTAGACACTGTTCAAGCTGAAACCATGAGAACCTTTCTCATAAACTCCGGTTACTCCCTCACGTACGTGGGCTTGTCTGCACAGTCAGACCAGAAGGATGTGAAACCATGTCTGCCATCACTGTATTTGACTTTCCCATGCAGAAATCTCAAGTAATGAAGATAACTTCAGGGATACTGCTCCTAGTTTAAGCCAGTATTATTCAGTCTAAGTCAGTGTGCAGTGCAGAAAATCAATTAAAGTTGGTTTTGCTGACAAGTAACTTAGGAAATTTACTCAGTGAACAGACAAATAAATTATATTATTGTTTTATAGAGCTGCTTCTTTTTTTCCAGAAAAGTCTTATTTCAGCTCTTTAAGTTTATAGCTGTGTGTGTCTATTTTCCTATGTTATTGTATTGGCTTTGATAATTACTATGAATCATGGTAATTCACCAGGTAGGACCTGATTCTCATTGGAGTGGGTGTCATGTAATTACAGAAAAGAGGGAGAAACCTTTGTTGCATCCCTAGAAACTTCTCTGAGTTTATTAAAGCAGGCCACATAATTACGCAACAGATATGTTTGGCAAAGACCCAGTGAACAATGTAAGCCAAGTTGCACAAATGAGCACGGACTAACCTAGCCATGCATTCACAAAGCTTTCACAGTACTGTCCCTGTTGAGAGATATTTTCTTTTTTTACCATTTAGGTGCCAGAGAGTAGGAAATGTGGGATGGGAATGGGGAGGAGGTTGCCCTACATACCATGAAAGTTTTACTGTTATTACACTGGATAATGTGGATAGAATTTAAGTTATTTTGGGAACTTGCCCCCAGTCAGCTTCAGTTCTACACAATGTAAGGAGCTTTCACTTGATATAAAAGTAGAGATATTCACAGAGGGACCCTTTGTTGCTGTACTTGCTCTCACATTCATTCAGTTCTCCACACACACTCTCCTTCCAAAGGGCTGTACTACAGTCTGCTGCCTGCAGATACTTCTGGGCTAATAGAGACCCATACTGACAAGGAGACTCAGAAATACTTCAATTAAGGTCCCAGGTTTGTGTTTCCCAGAGAATTTTGAGAGGGGTGATAAGAGACAGATATATTTTGAACACGTTTTAAACCAACATGCTGCAGATACCACAACAAAAAGACTGTGCTTTTGAAGTTGCTAGGTTGATAACATCCAGTCTCTGAGCATGAAGGAAGAGAGATCTCCCTGGGCTTTAAATGTGAAACCCTGAAAAATGCATATTTCCCTGGCAGAGCTCAAGGGAATAACAGTCATTCAGAGTTTCCCAGCCTTGGCATTAAGTTTCATCCATCTTTGTCACGTTTGACTATGACAGCCCTGATGGGTTGTGACCCAGGTGGGAGGCTCACCAGGGCACAAATCTGGTGGCTGCTCCTGTGAGCAGGGACAGAACAGCTGTGTATGTTGCCTGCCTACAGGCAAATCTGCCCTCTGCTCTCCTCTCTTGCCTTGAATCCGTTTCTGTGTGACTCAGACTCACACAAGGTCAGATTTGCCTACTGACTTGAGAAAACCAGAAGCTGGCCCTGAGAGCTCAAAATTTTGTTGCAGACTGTGGAGGTCCTACCAGGATGACCTGGCAAGGCTTCTGGGCTATGGGATGAAGGGTGCTTGAGGCACAGTAATCAGGAATGCAATGTGCTCATGGGAGCCATGAAACTAGCAATGACAGTTCCACCTCACTGCTACCTACTGCTCCTGACCCACCTCTCTGTTCACTTCCAGGCATTTCTGACCCAACAAAATTAGCTACCTCCCTCCTGCAAAATTATCAACTTTAGACTTCTAGTCCCATGGGCACTAATTGAAGAAATAACTTTCAAAAAATAACAAAACTCCTCCCAAGGATATATTAAGAGCTTACTAAATTAAAGTTAAAATCAGTATCAGGACCTTTCTTTCACTCACTTTCTGGTGTGAAAGCTTTGTAGCTATAAGCCCTTGGGTGCAGAGGTCATGTCAGAGCAAGGCATCGGGAGGAACCTTATGTGGCTTACTTATGCAGAAGCCTCATCTTCCTCACCAAGCTTTTTTTTCTTTTGTGTCCAAAGGGGCATCTGCTACTTGTAAACTCTTGCTTTGTAAGGAAAAAGTGAACTATCTGACACAGAGTTACGTTACAAGAGAGGCATCACAGCCAGGGTCCAGAGATTAGGTTTGCTTCTTGTCTCATGAGCACAGGATGGGAAGGAAAATAATAATTTTTAAAACAATTCAAATTCAATAAAAACAATTAAAGAAATTCCCAGTGGCCCAATTACACCCTTGTCAGGTGAATTTTTGCATTCCTGTACATTTTAGCTTCAGTCACATCTTCCTAAGCACATACCTCTGAATTAATTTATTTTGCCTCCAAGCCAAGAGCTGAGTTAGCAGGAAGAAGGACACCATCTTCTCACATCCTAAAGAAGAATTGTCTCTGACCTGTGATTACTGATGGATAATGTATTACCTTTATGCAGGTAATACATTAACAGGCCCAAGGATCTCATCAAGGAAGGCCATCATGGTATCTTTATAAAAGCACTGCCTTTTCTGAATCTGTCTTTTCTTGCTAAAAGGGAACCACAGATTCACTTTTTAATCATGCTTCAGTATAAGGCACTACTTTCCTACAGCCAGACTTTCTGTAGAAATCACAAACATCTTCCTTATTAGCACACACTGTAGGCGAGGAGTAGCTGATATAGCTAGTCAGGGGCAGCTCTTTGTGTGTTAAAATAATAAATGTGCAGAAGAAGTGCAGTCAGTTGGCCAGGCAAACAACTCTTGTAAAAGCCCTAATAAGGATTAACTGTTCTTTTTAAAGTCTCATCCTCCCAAAGGGAGTCTCAAGAAAAGGTTCCACCCAGAGTGCCCTGGTAGGCAGGAGGACACATGTGATTACTCAGCCCTGCAGCAGATACAGAATGCTCCATAAGCATGTTTGGAGGTGGTGGTCAGCACTTTATATCACCTTTAGATAAGTCTAGCAGCCCCTTACAGAGTGAGCAGTGTGTGTATTCTGCAGGATACAATGAGATCGCCTTCCTTAGAGGCTGCACAGGAAGTAGGGGGGTCCCTCCAGTCCTCTTGCTGTGAACATCCATGAAGGTTTTGTGGTCTCCAGAAGCTGTGTGAGAGATGGATGTTAGTAATCAAAGACTAACTTCTTTACATCTTTAACTGTTTACTTACTGTAAGCAATTAAGTATCACAGCTTAAACCAGAATTTTACTCATAGCTCAGAAATGCAGGGTTTCTCCGTCTGCAAAGTAAAGGGTATATTAAAGCTCATCATGGATGTTGGAGTGTGGTTTTGTAAAGCACTTTGAGATCAGTGAGTTGAAAGCTTAGAGATAGGTAAAGCATTATTCCAGGGATCTGGTAACATGAAACAGTTTATCTGAACACATACAGTGTCTGAACTGCATTAACTGATGACTCTTCAACACTGAATGTTGGTCACTTCACAACAGCCAATTTATTTCTTGACAAAAGATGACGTATCTCATTGTATAACATTTCAGAAACATCTGAACACCTATTTTCTGATCATGACTCCATTTTGGAACCTCACATCTCATTGTAAAGGAAATAATATCTTTTGGGATAAAACTTGATTTGAACTTCTGTTGTCAACATAAAATCTTTTAAATTTTTTAAAGAAAAATAATACATGCCTCATTGGTGAACAATCTCTCATTTTACAAGTTCGAGAAAACAGAGAGGATTACTTACTGTTCTGTACTTAGCTTTAGAATCCCTGTCATTATTTGAATGTTTACCAACCTTTCAAATCCATAATTTTCAAAAACAAATGTTTAGCTCAAATTCTTACAGGTTTCCAAAGACGTGGTAAGAGAAAGAATGGATCCTTAAATTGCCAGATAATAACAAATATAATTTTTAAATAAATGTTTTTGTTAATTCACATTTTAATTACTGAGCCTTTAGTACAAGTTATTCCATGTTTTGCACATTTTTTCCAACAATAAAGACTAGAAACATAGTCTTTTTATGTTTAATAGAATCTGAGACTCTCATGAGATCTAATTGCATGGGACTTCATCATTTAACAAAAATATTATCAATAAAAGTGGAACTGTGGAATCTGGGAAAATATACTGTCACTTATACTGAGAGCAGCCTCTACATCACAATACTATGGCCTTAAAACTGAAGGTTAAATGAATTTTTGGACAACACTCTTTAGCCAAACATAACTTATGCTGTCATCAAACACAAGTCATTGGGCTTTCCATATGTTGACTAGATGAATTTTAATACTCTTAGCATGCTGGAGATCTGATTGGAGGACCTATATGAAGTATTACAGATATTATCTGTGATACAGGAGTGATCTCAGTGTTGTTGGCTATCCTTTCACAGCCATGTGGAGAGCTAGACAGCTACCCTATGAGGTAG